GTATGTGTTTTCATGGCTTAATATAATTTGCATAACCTACTTGTGGTTAAATAATTAGGTTATGTGCATGATGAATATGTAGACTAGATTAATGAATTTCCAGTTGCTTTATATTCTTTTGTTATCCATTATATTTATTTATTAAAGACTGAATTGACATGACTCCTGTCATGGAGAAAGATCATAGATGGGCTACAATATTTGTCATCAAGAGATGATGTGCACTGCACAGGTGATGGATTTCCTCTCAAGTTACACATTCATTTGATACATATTTCAAATCTTTAGATTTTCTCTCAAGTTAGACATTTACTTCATATACATTTCAACCCGAGTCCCCCTTCCTCCCCCTGTGTAACCCAAGCCCCATTCTGCCTCAAGTGCCTGACAGGCAGCCCATCATAAATGGAAAGACAACTGCTGGGGAAAAAACAGTCAAGCCAGTTCCTCAGGGCAGTGTCAGTGGGCCTCTGCTCCATCACCATAGACCCCAGCTCATCTCAGCTGGTCCCTCTAGATTACTCTGTCCCTCCCTGGCATGCTCTGGGTGACATGTTCACCTGTCTGGAGGCAGAGCTATGTGGATAGGACTCATGAGTGTCACATTCACTCATTCAGCTCCTTCCCAGGCCATAACAAAAGCTCTTTCTTCTTCCCTAGATTCATGAAGGAAAGGTGACTGTTTTTCCTCAATATAAATATTTAAAGGTTGGTTCTGGTTGAATCTGAATAATGAAACTGAGTCCCACACATGAGTATATGATGACTGTTTCCATTTTTATAATATCTTTCATAAACCAACATCCATAATGGCGACGCCAGGACAGCGGAGTCACTGACCACCTTCTGGAGACACTTGAAACCCTACCTCTTTAAGGAATACCTGGAATAGTCTAACAGTAATCCTTCTACCCCCCCCCCCCCCCCCCCCCCAGTGGTGGTTGTCCCACTGGCTATCCTATGTTGAATGCACCAATTTGTAAGTCGCTCTGGATAAGAGCGTCTGCTAACTGACTTAAATGTAAATGTAAATGTAAATAACATCCTTACGTTGTACCTCAGCACAAGGTGCACTTTCCACATTGGATTTCCTTGAGTTTAAATCATCAGTCATCGCCTATTCACATTGTGCACTCAGAGGTTTGGAATTAAAAAAAATTGGCACTTCCATATTTCTAGGGGAGATGACAGGCTACAGATAAGAGTGCTACAATGTATTGTTTTCCCAAGTGCATAAGCATAGCTGGGTTACATACAGTACAAATGACAAAGAGCTCATTTGACATGAATCAGATGCTACAGATCAGTGAGCAAAGCTTTACCTTGTATGAGCAATAAAACTAGCATCTAATACCAAGGGTCTCTGATCACTCTGGGGATGACTAAACCAAATCAAAACCCAGATTCAATAGATATGTCTCTTGCAATAACACATACATCTCCTTCAGATGTACAGTTTCATGATTTGCACTTATAGCCATACTTTGAAGAAAGACTGGAATTTTCTAAAAGTTATAGGTACTGCCAATAAATCTGTCAGCTCCACTGAGACCCTGTTCAAAGTTTGAGCATAGCAGAAACACCTAGCAAAAAGATTAAAGGAATTCATATTTTTCAGAATCAATGAATTTAGCAGTGATGGAAAGAGAGAAACACAGTGGACCAGGACAGGTTCAGGTGAGTAGGTAGGCAGTCACTGACGGCAGATATTTCATATAAGATGCTAATGCAGCCAAATCTAGCTCTGCTGGCAGGGGGAACTGTAAAATATAATTATTAATGTATAATGGCATTCATGTATAATGAATGTAGTTACTACTTAACTATAATTAATACACATCATGTTTGTTTAATAGATTCAGTTTGACAGTATAACTCTTGGCCATTGTCTTAATCTGTTGTAAGCAGCAAGTCTATCCACAAGAGTACTGGTTGTCCCCTCATGAAGAAATAGACCTACCCCACGTTATTCACACCAATGGCCTCTACTATTTCACATCATTGGCAGCACAGTAGATAATATCAATTTAATTGTTTCACATTGCTCTCATTTCCAAAGGCAACATTTTATGACCAGAGCAACCGAGTGTATTTTTAATCTGGTAATTTCTTCTTTGACATATGTTTACATCATTTAGCAGACGCTCTTATCCAGAGCGACTTACAGGAGCAATTAGTGTTAAGTGCCTAGCTCAAGGGCACATCGACAGATTTTTCACCTAGTTGGCTCGGGGATTAGAACCAGCGACCTTTTGGTTACTGGCACAACGCTCTTAACCATTAAGCTACCTGCTGCCCCAAATGTTTATTAGGTAGGCAGAGCGAAAGAGAGAAAATGTAATGCTTTCATTCCTCAACTTTATTTCCACGGTCTGGCCATAGCAGACAAAATAATCTAAACAAATCAAAATGCTGAGACTAAATTTACATTGCATTATGGCTTCATGCTGTTTACTGCATACTTTGCCAGATTCAGATTGCTTGAAAGACCCATTATAATCTACTGTATGTCAAATCCAAATGGTAGATGTGCCAAATGGAGATGTTAACTTGGAACAAGTGCTATAAAGCACTCATGATTAAATATGACATGCAATTAATTCTTAGAATTCTGGGGATTAAGGCCATCAATATATTATCCTTGCGCCCTCCACCAATTACCTTCTTAGGTCTACCAGGCCTGGCTAAACAGCCTATTGCACAGAGGCAGCTAGTTTATTAGCTGTGATTTAATGTGATTTGATTTAATCTCGGATGAGATAGTTTTTTTTACAAAGACACACTGATGCACGTTTTAGATAGACAAACCACGCAGCTGAACATGAGTGAGCAGAGGTTACAGAGGCTTTGTAAAGCTAAAGAGATGGACATTGCCTCCTAGTGGGGGTGAGATTACAGTAACATTTAATTGCCCTTTCAGACGTCACAGATCACTCTACTGCCTGTTGATGTTTAAGTATTACGTTATAAAGGACAAGAAAATAAACTCCCAATTGAGAAAATTTGCAAGAAAAGAATTTATTCCTTGTAAACCTCAAAGAGCGAGAGCGCAGCCAAGGTCAGACCTGGGGAGAAACAGAGCAGTGACTGCGGGCATAGAAAACAAAAAACGTTTTATACTTTCAACATCAGTTGAGCCAATGACACGCAGCACTGAGCAAAAAGTTTTCCCATATACAGTTGGTCATAACCACACACACAAAATGACCATTTCAGATGACTGCAAAACCATGTCAGACTCAAGCTATTCCTCCCAGCAGGATATAACAATACCAAAAAGAGTAAGGAAAAAAACTGTATACTGTTCTTAACAGGCAGTTGCCAATACTGTAACATTCACAAAAATAAAACATTTCCTAGTCCCTTACTTTCAACTACGTAAACAGTCTACTACAAACAGGTGAACAGTTTTCCCACCTGCTTGACATACTTCAGTCAAGTCACTAAGAGGAGGACATTTGTCAAACACATCAGCCAATGTATTTGCAGTACATTCCTGGATAGCACATATTACTAGAAAACAAGCAATCGTTTCTTGGCACATGGGCTGAAGTTGAGTATTCGGCAATAAAAGGAGCCCGATGAAGAATTTTCTATGCAAAATTCAGTGGAAATAAATTCTGTCTCTTGTTTGGCATTTCCAGAGCCTTGGTTCTTGTATACATTGCACAAAATCCATCTCAACAGTTTTCCCTGTCAAACAGCTTTTTTTCAACAGTGCAATTGAAGTCAAATCAATAAAAACATAAGTAGGGACAATATTTAAACCAACAGAAACAGAGTTTACAGCAGAGAGATGTGTTATAGTTGGATGCAGGGGAGAGGCCATGCTGGGAGCTTGGGACCTGTTTGCAGTAGACTTCGTAGTGGCTAACATTACCATATCAACGCACTGTAAAGGAATAACATGACTATGCTAAAACAGACTAATTGGCCATATCGTCAGAACTGTTGAGCAAGTAGATAGGCTATCTGTTCTGAACCTAAGGTTAGGGTCCGGGTAAAACTGTATTTGTGGTTGGAAAGCCCTGTACTTCAGCCATTTCTAGCATAGCCAGATACTGACTTCCACCACTGAGGCCCTGTCTCAAGGCACTGTGATCATGACAATTTGTGAGACTATTCTGGGTTTAAAGAGAAGGCATATTATACATTAACTTCTCAATACTGTTTTTGCTTAACACTCTTTTGGACAGGATCGTGGAAATTAGGGGGCTTTGAGGGAAATAAATGTAATTTTGCAGTTGATACTCAACATTCAGGGGTTGTTGAGGATGGTTTACTTTGACCTCTTGTTAATAAAACAAATAATGTCTTGGTACAGCTCTGTTCTCATCTCAAAGTGATTTTTCCAACTTTTTGTGAAACAAGTGAAAAAGGAGAGACACAATCCACTTTTTAACATAACAAAACCAATACCACGAAACACAAGAACAGCCAATGGAAGATTCAATTTGGTCTCTGATATTCACAACTGAAAAATAATATTGACAAAACAGGGCTAGAGTCCATGCCAACGTTGCTCTACATTCCTTTGGGCATACTGATGGTACCTTCTTACCTTAAAAATAAACTGATATCTGCGCTCAGCGATCAGAATTTATTACATAGAAATAAGGGTGAGCACTCCTGCTAGCAGAGATCCACATCCCAGCTCTAAAATAAATAAAATCAACGGAATTCCCCAATCCCAAGGCCAGAGACCAAGTAACTGGTAACAGGTGGAGTAAAGGGGGGGAACTGAAACACCCTAGATAAGATACACGCCCAATTCTGTGAGGTTTCACTAGACATTTACAAGAAGAAAAATAACTGGGAATTCCTAGTCGACATGAGATGTCCCATAAAGTCTTTTTTTTGTTTTAACTACAACAAATACAGTCACACAATACAACATTCTTCGGACTCCCCAAACAAAAACAAAAAAGTTCTCAGCCGCAGACATGACAAGCAGATCTGGAGGTGGGCTTGAAAAAAACAGAAGAGGATGGAGGGAGCGTTCACTTTTTGAGGGGCTGGTAGACAGAGGCATTGGGGTCCAGGCCAGAGGGACTGGTGTCCATGAACTTGGAGGAGTAGTGGGGGGCCACAGGAGTCATGTTGCTGCTGTCAGCTGTGTAGGAGATGCTGGGCATGACTGCCATCACCTCGGCTATCTTCTGCTTCAGGTCCTTGATCTCCTGGTCCTTCTGCAGGATCTGACCTAAGAGAGACAGACGCACCCAGCAAGAAACTTTCAGATTAGACATTCATGTCATGCAATCTATTCTACATCAATCACATTCAGTAGGAGATAGGTGAGACTAAAGCAGTATTGCAGAAGGGACCAAGGCTGAACACTGACCTTGTGCAATCTCCAGCTGTCTTTTAGCGTCTCCCAGTGCTGAGAACAGGTCCAGTTTGATGCGGGTCTCTGCAGACAGGCTGTTCTCCAGGTGCTGGGTCTTATCCTGCATGGCCGACAGCGCTGACATCAGCACTTCTGTGTCCTTCTCATTCTCCTTATACTTGTGGAGCTCCTGAGAGAGGGAAAGAACATCAGTACAAGTGGCATTGTCTGTGTGCCAGTGTACAGCAGGTGTGCATGAGTCAACATGTGTTCATTTAACTAAAAATGTTCTTGACATCAAAAGTCTCCAACAAAACATACCCGAGTCTTAACTTAACAGTGATCCTCACCTGCACTGTCATCTCCAGCTCTCGGATCTGGTCTTCTTTGAGCTTGATGTCCATGGTCAGCTTCTTACACTCAGTCTCCAGTTCCGTGATCCGCCTCCTCAGCGTATCTGTGCACTCCCCCCTGTGGAGCAGACAGAGAGAGGGGGATCGCACATATACTAACAGCAGGGAATAGCTTGAAACTGGCTAACAACAACAACTGATAGCTGATAATGTATTTAAGGGGAACTCTGGAGCTTTTACCTGGATGCTGCTGCTAGTGCGACGGCTCTAGCTGTGGTGGCCTCCTCCAGTTTTTTGCGTTTCTTCTCGTCTGAAAGCTGTTTCTCTGCGTTGGTGCGGGCCTCCTGCTCAACCTTCAGCCTCTTCTCTAGTTGGCCCACGGCCTGCTTGTCCTTCTGCTTGGCCTGGACAGCGTTATGGAGCCTGCACACACACAGCAGCCACAGACCATGCAGCACCACGTGAGCCAGCAGCCAGTGGGACTCCATCCCACCCCAGGGTGTGTGTGTCTCTATGTGAGAACAATAGTGCTAAAACCTAGCCATGTTCATGAGTGTAAGTAACCACTGAGTCTATGCATTGTGGAGTATGGTCAGTTAGATGACAGAATGGCTGGTCAGTTTGGTAACCAAGCCAACGGCCCACCCATTTCTCAGTACTTCAGTAATCCTTAGCCTAGCATAATCCAACAGAGTCTCCACCAACAGACAGAACAAATGAGTGAATCAGGCTCTGATGAGATTGAATAGGAATCAGCTGGTCATTAGGGGTAGGCTGGGAGGACCTACTTGTCACCTCCCCTTTAATTGCATCACATGATTAACTGGCCATAACAACTGAGTTTGTGTCTGTATGTAGATAACTGCCATATTAGGGTGGTCCTCACTTCCGAAGCTGTATCACATTAGTGGATACTCACACTGCTCTCAGGGCAGGTCTGCCGGTTTTGACAAGCAGAAGTGACTTTTTATAGCAGGTTAGGATAATTAACATGGCAGGTTAGGAGAATTAAGTTAAGATTAGGAAAAGGGTTAGCTAAAATGCTAGAATTGTCCCCGACCTGACTCGAAAATACCTAGCTACAACCAAGCCTGCCCTGAGAACAGTCTTGGTTTTCACTAATGCGATCCTGCGCCTAGGACACCCAGGAATCCTTTTGGTCAATAATGACTGTTAATTGGACAATTAAAGCAGCCAGATGCATAAGTGCTACCTCTGCTCCAGTCTGGACTGCTGTGATATGAAGCCTGCACTGAGAGGAGCAGTAGACTCGATCCTAATCTGTAAAATCCACTATTTTTATGATTTAACAAAATCCATCCTGTCAGTCCTCCCCCACTCCTGAATGTCTTAGCACAGAGTTATCCCTCCATTTCAAACTAGCTCTTCCTGACCCTGGACAAAGGCATTTCGACAAGGGCATTCCAAGCTAAATCCAGTGTTTTGAGTCTCCTGAGCTTACATGAAAAAAGCTGTATGATAACCCTGCTAGGTCCCCCTGAGTTTTTCCTGACTACCTGACCTGACAAGGAAAAGCTCCTGGTCCTGGTCCTAGTCCCAGCAGGTGATCAGATCCAGTCATGCATGACCTTTGACCTGTGCCACTCACTTGTTCTGCAGCAGCTCGTTCTCTTGGCGCAGCTGGCCCAGCTCAGAGCGGATGGAGCGCTCAGCGCTGCTCAGGGAGCCGATCTGACTGCGCAGGTCCTGCTCCACCTGTCTGCTGGCCTGCAGGTCTGCCTTCAACTTCTTCACATCCTGCTCCAGCCTGCAGGGTTGGAAGGTGGAAGGAAATAAATGGAGAAGGAGGGGATGATGAGGAAGAGTGAAGCGGACGGGAGAGGGAGGAGAGAGACAATTTGATGAAGATACGATAAGATGTACTATATTAGTCCATATGAGATGGAAATGTCTTCTGCTTTTCCCCCCCAACCCCTCTGACACACACACACACTATATACAGAAGTATGTGGACACCCTTTCAAATTAGTGGCTTCAGCTATTTCAGCCACACCCGTTGCTGAAAGGTGTATAAAACCGAGAACAGCCATGCAATCTCCATAGACAAATATTGTCAGTAGAATGGCCTTACTGAAGAGCTCAGTGACTTTCAACATGGCACCGTCATAGGATGGCCACTTTTCCAACTAGTCAGTTTGTCACATTTCTGCCCTGCTAGAGCTGCCCAGGTCAACTGTAAGTGCTGTTATTGTGAAGTGGAAACATCTAGGAGCAACAACGGCTCAGCAGCAAAGTGGTAGACCACACAAGCTCACAGGACGGGACCGCCGAGTGCTGAATCGCGTAGCGCGTAAAAATCGTCCTGTCCTCGGTTACAACACTCACTACCTAGTTCCAAACTGCCTCTGGAAGCAACACCAGCACAAGAACTGTTCGTCGTGAGCTTCACAAGCCTAAGATCACCATGAGCAATGCCAAGCATCGGCTGGAGTGGTGTAAAGCTCACCGCCATTGGACTCTGGACCAGTGGAAACACGTTCTCTGGGAGTGATGAATCACGCGCCACCATCTGGCAATCCGATGGACGAATCTGGGTTTGGCGGATGCCAGGAGAACGCTACCTGCCCCAATGCATAGTGCCAACTGTAACGTTTGGTGGAGGAAGAATAATGGTCTGGGGCTGTTTTTCCATGGTTTGGGCTAGGCCCCTTAGTTCCAGTGAAGGGAAATCTTAACGCTACAGCATACAATGACATTCTAGACAATTCTGTGCTTCCAACTTTCTGGCAACAGTTTTGGGAAGGCCCTTTCCTGTTTCAGCATGACAATGCCCACAGCGAGGTCCATACAGAAATGGTTTGTCGAGATCGGTGTGGAAGAACTTCACTGCCCTGCACAAAGCCCTGACCTCAACCCCATCAAACACCTTTGGGATGAATTGGAACGCAGACTGCGAGCCAGGCCTAATCGCCCAACATCAGTGCCCGACCTCACTAACGCTCTTGTGGCTGAATGGAAGCAAGTCCCCACAGCAATGTTCCAACATCTAGTGGAAAGCTTTCCCAGAAGAGTGGAGGCAGTTATAATAATAATAATAATAATAATACTAATACTAATAATAATAATAATAATAATGCCACTTAGCAGACGCTTTTATCCAAAGCGACTTACAGTCATGCGTGCATACATTTTATGTTATAGCAGCAAAGGGGGGACCAACTCCATATTAATGCCCATGATTTTGGAATGAGATGTTCGAGCAGGTGTCCACATACTTTTGGTCATGTAGTGTATATACACAAACACACATTAGGTTGGAAAGGCTGGAGCAGAGGGCTTCCGCAGTGCAGCACCCAATGAGCAGTTTAGGGGGGATACGTTCCTTGCTCAAGGGAACATCGGCAGTAGGCGGCACCTGAGACATTGCCCGCTTCTCTAACCTCGAGGCTACTGCCGTCCGGTACATGATGTTTCTGCATAGTGCATATAGTAGCTTTGGATCATCCACAGTTCTTGGTTTCATCTGCTCATAAGACTTTGTTTCAGAAGGGCATTCTTTGTACTGCATAGCTAATTTCTAACCTGTCTTTTCTGTTCTGCTGCTGCGGAGTGGTTTTGGCATTTGGCTGTGACTGAAGCCTGTTGTTCTGCTGTCAAAGCCTCCTGCTGATGGTAGATTGTGGCTGTTGGCCATTTGTTTTTCTTGGCCAAAAAGATCATTGCCGATTGATAGTCACCGGTGGTTTTTCTTTTTCATGATGTTCCAAATTGTTGTTTTAACTGTAACCGTTTTCTTTACTACGGTTCTTGCTTTAAGTTGTCTCGTCTTTCACCTTCAAAATGGCTTGCTTTTCTTTTATGTACAGTTCTTTGGTCTGTTTACTTTTGCCTTTGGAGTCAGAAGTTCTTTAAACAAAGGCTAAAAGACTAGACATCCACAGCTTTGTTATCATTATGTGTACAATCAATGCAAAAAGCAACAACTCACCAATAAGAAACACCTGCTAGCCAAGTGTCTATTCAGCCATATTTGTATACGGCAAAAACACAATGTACCAATAATGTAAGCCAGGGAAGCCACTAGTCTGAGAGTGTGGCAAATGCAGGGCACATATTACCCTGAACACCATGACAACTTGCCACACCAGAATTGACTTTCGTCTTACATTTCCACCCACACCACTGTGTCTGTAGCTGACCTACAGCACCACCATACACCCAGCTGAACAACTACAGACACAAACAGGCTGACACAGCCATACCAAACTCAAGGTTCTCATTTTCAGCCAGCATCTTTTTGTGGCAAACCATAGATTGTAACAGTCCAAGTTTCTCCCACCCCAGCCCACACAGTGGAAACAGCTCTACTTAACGCTTATCTATCTGGAGCCTGCACTGCAGCAGGGTCAGTTTGAGGTGTCAGGGACTGCCTCCAAACTCACATGAGGGGAAGCATCCCATGCAGCCATCATGTACGAGCAAGTTACTGACATTCAGCATGCTTCGGCTAGGTGAACCAAACGAGTGTGCTCGCAAACTCCCTTAAAAGACCTTCGCTTGAAAAACAAGAAAAAAAAACGGTAATAGTACAATAGTATCTTTCAAGTTAAAACATTTGCATGAAAACTAATGGATTAGTCTCTCGTTGAACACTTCATTGAAGAATCCCTACTGTTGACCAATCACCGACGAAGGGGCGTAGACTTAGTCTACCAACTTCGGCTTGCCTTGAGAAAAAATTTAATGTGCACAAACAACTGAAAAAACCCTTGCCGAAGACCAAAACATCACAAAATGTCATAATACAGTTGAAGTCGGAAGTTTACATACACCTTAGCCAAATACATTTAAACTCAGTTTTTCACAATTCCTGACATTTAATCCTAGTAAAAATGCCGTCTTAGGTCAGTTAGGATCACCACTTTATTTTAAGAATGTGAAATGTCAGAATAATAGTAGAGAGAATGATTTATTTCAGCTTTTATTTCTTTCATCACATTGCCTTTGGGTCAGAAGTTTACATACACTCAATTAGTATTTGGTAGCATTGCCTTTAAATTGTTTAACTTGGGTCAAACGTTTCGGGTAGCCTTCCACAAGCTTCCCACAATAAGTTGGGTGAATTTTGGCCCATTCCTCCTGACAGAGCTGGTGTAACTGAGTCAGGTTTGTAGGCCTCCTTGCTCGCACACGCTTTTTCAGTTCTGCCCACACATTTTCTATAGGATGGAGGTCAGGGCTTTGTTGTCTTACCTTGACTTTGTTGTCCTTAAGCCATTTTGCCACAACTTTGGAAGTATGCTTGGGGTCATTGTCCATTTGGAAGACCCATTTGTGACCAAGCTTTAACTTCCTGACTGATGTCTTGAGATGTTGCTTCAATATATCCACATAATTTTCCTTCCTCATGATGCCATCTATTTTGTGAAGTGCACCAGTACCTCCTGCAGCAAAGCACCCCCACAGCATGATGCTGCCACCTCCGTGCTTCACGGTTGGGATGGTGTTCTTCGGCTTGCAAGCTACCCCCCTTTTTCTTCCAAACATAACGATGGTCATTATGGCCAAACAGTTCTATTTTTGTTTCATCAGACCAGAGGACATTTCTCCAAAAAGTAAGATCTTTGTCCCCATGTGCAGTTGCAAGCCGTAGTCTGGCTTTTTTATGGCGGTTTTGGAGCAGTGGCTTCTTCCTTGCTGAGCGGCCTTTCAGGTAATGTTGATATAGGACTCGTTTTACTGTGGATATAGATACTTTTGTACCCGTTTCCTCCAGCATCTTCACAAGGTCCTTTGCTGTTGTTCTGGGATTGATTTGCACTTTTCGCACCAAAGTACGTTCATCTCTAGGAAACAGAACGCGTCTCCTTCCTGAGCGGTATGATGGCTGCGTGGTCCCATGGTGTTTATACTTGCGTACTATTGTTTGTACAGATGAACGTGGTACCTTCAGGCGTTTGGAAATTGCTCCCAAGGATGAACCAGACTTGTGGAGGTCTACAATTTTTTTTCTGAAGTCTTGGCTGATTTCTTTTGATTTTCCCATGATGTCAAGCAAAGAGGCACTGAGTTTGAAGGTAGGCCTTGAAATACATCCACAGACTCAAATGATGTAAATTAGCCTAAGCTTCTAAAGCCATGACATAATTTTCCAAGCTGTTTAAAGGCACAGTCAACATAGTGTATGTAAACTTCTGACCCACTGGAATTGTGATACAGTCAATTATAAGTGAAATAATCTGTCTGTAAACAATTGTTGGAAAAATTACTTGTGTCATGCACAAAGTAGATGTCCTAACCGACTTGCCAAAACTATAGTTTGTTAACAAGAAATTTGTGGAGTGGTTGAAAAACGAGTTTTAATGACTCCAACCTAAGTGTATGTAAACTTCCGACTTCAACTGTATATGCACGAACTGTTCCGGCCGGGAAGCATGCAGACGCCTTAATGAGTGAGTGTGTGTATGTGGCCTCAAGCAAGCACAGCTGTTTGTGTATGGATGCATGTGTTCTAGCTACTGTACTAGTGCCGTAGGCTTCTCTAATGGGTGTGTGTTAAACTCACTTAACCTGGTGCATGTGCTGTACATACTGTGCTGTGTACATAATATGTGCTCTTATCGTAAGAGCACCTTCAGCCTGCTCAACCAGGTGCATACAGTATGTGCATCTGCATATAAGTGCTCTTACCGTACGTGCGCCTCAGGCTTGCTCAGCTGATTGTTGGGGATGCAGTTGTCCGTTGGGTCCCTGTGGGAGCCCGCTGCTGGACCCTTCCCCACTGCACACTTCTGCTTCTTCCCCGAGGAAGAAGGGGCTGACAAGGGGACGCTGCCATTGGTGGCGCTGTGTCCGCGGGGCGAGGAGTTAATTGCGGTGTTGCCACTAGCGTTCTTGTAGTTTTTTGAGGAGGAGGATGAGGAGGAGGAGCAGGAGGAAGAGGAGTTATCCTCCTTTAGCAGCAGGTTTTCTGTGCTGCCCACCAGTTCTATGGTCAGTCTCTTGTTGTTCATATGGTTCTCCATGTACTCCATCTCCTGGAGTTTAGAGTCTACCGATGATGGCAGGATGCTGTTGTGTTGTTTTTTGGCCTCGCGGCCCTCTTTCCCTTTTTCTCTGTACTCCAGCTCCGGCAGCGGTGCTGGCGTCTTTTTACTGGCGAGTGCGCCATTCTGTGAGACTGGGGCGGAGTCCACATCGGATATCCCTTTAGCTGCTGCAGCTGAATGGAGGGTGAAAGTAAGAAAGGAGAGAGATTAAATACATATTTATTAGGAGTCGGACAATCGCTTGGATCATCACTTGAACCACATCCTTTTCTATGGTATCTGGAGCATCTGTTGCAAGGCATGCGTGCATCTCACCTTCCTCTGCCTCCCTCTCTTGTTTCTGTAGCATCTGTTGCTCTGGGGGCAGGGCCTGCTGCAGGAGCTGCATGTAGAACTCATTCTCCTTCTGCACCTCCTTCTGCTTTCTTAAGCGCATCTTATAGCTGACGTAGCTCTTGAAGCCAAAGCCCAGCGTCACCACCGGGTAGCCAATGCTACAGAGAGATAGATCAAGAACAAAGTTCAGACAACTCATCCTGCCTGATGTATCCCCAAGACAAACTGGTTCACAAGTTGAGACAAGCATAGGTACTATGAAAAAAAAGCCTTGAGATGAACATCACTGTCGTAAGTAAAGCTAGAGGAATTACAGGCCCTAATATCCTGCATTACTACATAGCATGTATTATGCGCTGTAATTGAGCTGTTATCTAAATCCACTTAGAGGTCTTTAAGAGTACTTAGATTATAAATGGAGGTCTTTCCCACCCAACAGGGGTGTATGACTTTACAGATCTGGGGCAGAAATATTTCTTAAACCCTCTCTTAGAAGATGTATGATTTTTCATAATTCTACAGATTGAATGAAACCAGCACGTTATCTTGTTCTCTTTTTGGAGAGTGGAGTCTGAGGGGATATCCAGCAGTCATTACTTGTGCATTATGCCTAACAAGCAGAAATATTGGTTTTCTGAGAGTGAAATGGGGCAGAACAATCCCATCCCTTTCTTGGCCTGTGGGTCTGAGAAGGCTTCTTCCTCCCAAATAGTCTACACCCAGACCTGCCTTCAGAGCATGAATGAAACAAATACCAAAATATTGTTTTTGGGTGGGGATTTCCTTTAACAACTTACCAATGTGCAGCAAATGGGCGACACAAGTCGACATGGAAGTTCTTCAGGTCTTTGAATCTGATGGCTGCCTCTATGTACACAAATAGTATCCAAAGAGACACTGTGGGGAGACAGACCCCTCTCTCTGTGAAAGCAAAACAAGGTGTGAGAACAGGAAAGAGACTACTGGTCATGATAACCACACAACTACATGCATCAAGATACAGTGCCTTCAGAATATATTCACACCCCTTGACTTTTTCCACATTTTGTTGTGTTACAGCCAGAATTTAAAATGGTCACTGGCCTACACACAATACCCCATAATGTCAAAGTGGAATATGGTTTTATAAATGTTTACAAATTAATAAAAAAGCTGAAATGTCTTGAGTCAATAAGTATTCAACCCCTTTGTTATGGGAAGCCTAAATACGTTCAGGAGTAATACATTGCTTAACAAGCCACAAAAGTTGCATGGAATAACTGTTTGCAATAATAGTGTTCACATGATTTTTGAATGACTACCTCATCTCTGCTACTCTGTACCCCACACATACAGTGCATTTGGAAAGTATTCAGACCCCTTGACCATTTCCACATTTTGTTACGTTACAGCCTTATTCTAAAATGGATTAAAAATCGGGGGGTTCTCAGCAGTCTACACACACACACACACACACACACACACAACACCCCATAATGACAAAGCATTTTTTATTTTTTAGCAAATGTATTAAAAATCAAACTGAAATATCATATTTACATAAGTATTCAGACCCTTTACTTAGTACTTTGTTGAAGCACCTTTGGCAGCGATTACAACCTCAAGTCTTCTTGGGTATGACGCTACAAGCTTGGCACACCTGTATTTGGGGAGTTTCTCCCATTCTTCTCTGCAGATCCTCTCAAGCTCTGTAAGGTTGGATGGGGAGCGTCACTGCACAGCTATTTTCAGGTCTCTCCAGAGATGTTCGATCAGGTTCAAGTCCGGGCTCTGGCTGGGCCACTCAAGGACATTCAGAGACTTGTCCCAAAGCCACTCCTGCGTTGTCTACGCTGTGTGCTTAGGGTCGTTGTCCTGTTGGAAGGTGACCCTTCGCCCCAATCTGAGCACTCTGGAGCAGGTTTTCATCAAGGATCTCTGTACTTTGCTCCGTTCATCTTTCCCTCGATCCTGACTAGTCTCCCAGTCCCTGCAGCTGAAAAACATCCCCACACTATGATGCTGCCACCCCCATGCTTCACCGTAGGGATGGTGCCAGGTTTCCTCCAGATGTGACGCTTGGCATTCAGGACAAAGAGTTCAATCTTGGTTTCATCAGACCAGAGAATCTTGTTTGTCATGGTCTGAGAGTCCTTTAGGTGCCTTTTGGCAAACTCCAAGCGGGTTGTCATGTGCCTTTTACTGAGGAGTGGCTTCCGTCTGGCCACTACCATAAAGGCCTGATTGGTGGAGTGCTGCAGAGATAGTTGTCCTTCTGGAAAGTTCTCCCATCTCCACAGAGGAACTCTGGAGCTCTGTCAGAGTGACCATCGGGTTCTTGGTCACCTCCCTGACCAAGGTCCTTCTCCCCCGATTGCTCAGTTTGGTCTTGGTGGTTTCAAACTTCTTCCATTTAAGAAAGATGGAGGCCACTGTGTTCTTGGGAACCTTAAATGCTGCAGAAATTTTTTGGTACCCTTCCCCAGATCTGTGCCTCGACACAATCCTGTCTCGGAGCTCTACGGACAACTCCTTCGACCTCATGGCTTGGTTTTTGCTCTGACATACACTGTCAACTGTGAGACCTTATATTAGACAGGTGTGCCACTTTTCAAATCATGTCCAACCAATCAAGTTGTAGAAACATCTCAAGGATGATCAATGGAAACAAGATGCACCTGAGCTCAATTTAGAGTCTCATAGCAAAGGGTCTGAATACTTATGTAAATAAGGTATTTCTGAGTTTTATTTTTAATACATTTGCTAACATTTCTAAAAACCTGTTTTTGCTTTGTCATTATGGGGTATTGTGTGTAGATTGATGAGGAAACACATGTATTTAATACATTTTAGAATGAGGCTGCAACGTAACAAAATGTGGAAAAAGTGAAGGGGTCTGAATACTTTCCGAATGCACTGTACAATTATCTGTAAGGTCCCTCAGTCGAGCAGTGAATTTCAAACACAGATTCAACCACATAGACCAGGGAGGTTTTCCCAATGTCTCACAAAGTAGGGCACCTATCAGTAGATGGGTAAAAAAAAAAAAATGCAGACATTGAATATCCCTTTGAGCATGGTGAAGTTATTAACACTTTGGATGCTGTATCGATACACACGTTCACTACAAAGATACAGGCGTCCTTTCTAACTCAGTTGCCTGAGAGAAGGGAAACATGAGGACAATGGTGACATTAAAACAGTTAGAGTTTAATGGCTGTGATAGGAGAAAACTGAGGATGGATGAACAACATTGTAGTTACTCCACAATACTAACCTAATTGACAGAGTGATTGTTAAGGACTGGGGAGGTTAAAAAAAATTTAAACAAAAAAACAATCCTAGATGAAAACCTGGTTCAGTCTGCTTTCCACCAGACACTGGGAGATGAATTCACCTTTCAGCAGGACAATAACCTAAAACACAAGGCCAAATCTACATTGAAGTTGCTTACCAAGAAGACAGTAAATGTTCCTGAATGGCCGAGTTACAGTTTTGACTTAAATCTGCTTGAAAATCTATGGCCAGACCTGATAACGGTTGTCTAGAAATGATCAACAACCAATTTGACAGCGCTTGAAGAATAAAAAGGCTAATGTTGCACAATCCAGGTGTGGAAAGACTTACTCAGAAAGACTCACAGCTGTAATCGCTGCCAAAGGTGATTCTAACATGTGTTGAATACTTATCAAATCAAGATACAGCTATTAGCGTTTTATTTATCATATTATTATTTTTACATATCTTAGAATTTCTTCCACTTTGACAGAGTATTTTGTGTAGATCATAAAAATAAAATGACAAATCCATTTTAATCTCACTTTGTAACACAACAAAATGTGGGAAAAGTCAAGGAGTGTGAATACTTTCTGAAGGCACGGTACATGGTCATGATAACCACACGTCCACATGAAAAATATCCATGCAGACCTACTTCCTCCAAATATGAAACAAGGTTTTACACTGTGGTCAGCGAAGCAGCCCCCCACAAGAACATCACAACAGCAACAGGGTAGATCAGCTTTTGAGTGACAAGTACAAAGTGAGACACAGACACACACAAAAGGACAGCTTTTCAGTGAGGCATACAACAAAACAAAGAGCTCTCCAGAGCTAACATGACTCAATGTGTGATTGTTGGCTGAGACAGCAAGACAGCCATGTCTGGTCCCTCATAGTACGTTCAAACAACAAACTGGCTTTCTGGCAAAGTCCCAGGCCATCTATAATTACATCAGCAGCAGGACAAACAGAATCAATGGATAGAGCATAGATAGCCCCTGTCCATTGTCTCCTGGGCAGAAATACCCACAAGCACATTCACCAACACAGGGTAGGGAATAATTAATGTGTATTAAAGATGCACTATGCAGAAATTGCTCCGCCATTTCCTGGCTGCAAAAACAAAAAATCTGTTTATGTGACAAAAAGGAAGTATAGTGTAGAGAATCATTGTACCATCTAAACCGCTATGAAATATTGTATTTTCAACTGTTTGAAGCTGGTGTACAAAACAGAAAGTAAAAGACGCAAAAACTAAACTTAACAGGAAGCATAGAAATGGCACACAGAACAGATTTGCAGCTTCTTAGCCTTGCTTTCAATGAGAATGACAGATCTATAACACACATTTCTATGTGAATGTGGTGGGTCGCCCAAAAAGTTACACATTGCAGCTTTAATACTCCAGTGACAAAATAATTAATTATTTCTCAATTATGCTTTAAGATTCAAATGTCAAATATAGGTAATTAATCCTTCCTCCAAATTACCGTTCTATAGACACAATTTCATGGAAAACCCAAAATTCATGGTCTTTTTTTGTTCTAGTATCTTGAGGAATCACCCTCCTGTGAAACTCCTGTCACCAGTTCCATTTCTTTACAGCTAGGCTTAAATGGTGCAATACAGGGATCATACTAAAGGAGGTTGGTGGCACCTTAATTGGGGAGGACGGGCTTGTAGCAATGGCTGGAGCGGAATTTGTGGAATGGTACCAAATACATCAAACACATGGTTTCCATGTGTTTGATGCCATTCCATTTAATCCATTCCATCCATTGTTATGAGCCGTCCTCTCTTCAGCAGCCTCCACTGGATCATAACCACACACTAATTCACTGTAATCGATAAGGTATTTTCCTTGTTAAAAGGCAGGTGAATAGGACGAGGGCTTACCTGTGTGCCACACATACTGCACCCACACGTAGGTACTGGCAGCAAAGAACAGCCATTGTACGGGGATGAAGAGCAGGCATATGATGTCGGAGGTAAATGCCACACACACAAAGAACACTGAAAACGCCTGGAAGAGTGGAGACGCGAGTGGGGTTAGTAGGTGCTCTGCGAAAAGGCAGAAAAACACATTGCTACAAACAACCAGAGAGATGTGGGTCACATATTATCCACATCACCATTTTCATTGCTTGATGATTACATTGGCAATTAAATGCAACAACAAATCTGCAAAAGACATCAAAGCCCAATCAATGACTTAGTAGAGTCACCTCTAGAGAATTGGGGGGGAATAACATTATGTAAATATTTTGAAAAACATAGCGGCACTAGTGCAGGGCTCAGATCTTGTTCTGTGGAGGCTCCATAGGCCTGCTCTCCTCGTCTATACCACAGATCGGTCAGGCCAACTCAGGACACAGCCAGACAAACACTCACCAGCCCCTGGTATCTGAAGGAGTCGTACACACTTCTGATGAACAGCCAGAAGGGCCACAGGTACTCAAACCTGAACTCGAGCACAAAGTCTGCCAGTAGCACCAGTGCCCACACCACCAGGAACTTCAGGTACAGGAAGGTACTGGAGAAGAGAGAAATGTATGAGTTTTAACGTGTCCAACGCCACAACCAGCCACAGACTGTTCTCTATGCTACCGTCAGGCAAGCGGTACCAGAGCATCAGGTATTAGACCAACAGGCCCAGAGACAGCATCCATCTCTAAGCAATTAGACGGTTAGCTAATCAATAGCAACTCAGACTGTATGGACTATCTGCAGACTCTACCTGCACTGGCTATATGCACTTAAACACAAACACAAAAACACACACACACACCGCTGCTACCTTTTTTTAAACTCTTAGTATTATACATCCTGATGCCTAGTTACTTTACCTCTGCCTACATGTACACATCTACCTCTATTACCACACATCCCTTCACATTGATATGGTAATCCTTGTATATATAGCTTCATTCTTGTGTGTTTTATAGGGCTGACCCCATTTAGTTGACTGGTCGATTGTTTGGTCGATAGGCTGTTAGTCGACCAAGATTTCTTTAGTCAAGCAGTATCCCCCCCCCCAACAAAATAATGTGTCCATGGTGTACAAGACACCTGTCTGATTAAAGCCGGTCTGAGTGGACTAATCCATTGTGGAGGCCGTGGGGATGGCACTGTCCATCACTCAAAATCCCAGTTTTCACTGGCACTTAAAATTAGGGCAATTAGGGCAAATTCGAGCTGGCTCTAATGGAATTCTCAAATTTGAGCTGGGCCAAGGGAAACCCGGGCCAACGCAGCCCAGGTAGTCAATTAGAATTGGGGCTGGTGACGCCGTTACTATGCAACCCCCAAGCTGATCACTGCTGGATGCTGACACAACCAACGTTAGCTAGCTCGTCTGGGCTTGTTGCTGTTAGCTAACAAATGGACAAGCAGTACTGCAGTAGTCAGACATGACACAAATTACCACCATAGCTGGATCCTAACGTCAGCAAGCTAAATACATGGCTCTGAGTCTGGCTGGCACTGGCAGGAGTATGGGGTAACGTTAGTTACAGCATGGTGAGGGCGAATTAAATAGCTAGCAATATCAGCAAAGCCAGCTGCAGTCACATATTGGATACCTAGCAACATTGCATAATTTCTCATTTCTGGGGGCAGTGGAAATGCAATTTGAGCTAGCCCACCAAGGCCAGCCCAACCTGGGTTGACTTCAAAGTGCCAATGGAAATGGGGCTTAAGACATATGCTGCTGAAATTGTATACGGTTATATTACATTAGAACAATGGTGCAACACTAATAAAAATTATATTATTTTATAACAAATGTGCTTTCACCCGCATTGGATAGCGGTCGCTGTCCGCGGTTCTGAAACATCAGTGTGCTGTTGAATTGGCGCCTTTTCCTAGACCATGTTGCTATGTGCATGAAAGCAAAGTTACCCAGCATATTGGTGTTGAGAACAATGCGGCGGAGGCAGCAGTGGAGTTACGAGATGAGAAAACAGCCCTTGCCTTCATTGTCTAAGAAAAGTGATGAGAGGAAACCAACTTAAATTAGGTCTATAGTCAACAGCCTAACTGTTAAATGTGCCTGGCTTCGATCGCGGGCTGTATCACAACCAACAATTGGCCCAGCGTCGTCCAGGTTAGGGGAGGGTTTGGCCAGGGGAGCTTTACTTTGCTCATCGCGCTGACTCCTTGTGGCGGGCCGGGCACCTGCAGGCTGACCTCGGTCGTCAGTTGAACGGTGTTTCCTCCGACACATTGGTGCGGCTGGCTTCCAGGTTAAGCGGGCGGGTGTTAAGAAGCGCGGTTTGGCGGGTCATGTTTCGGAGGACACATGACTCACCCTTCGTCTCCCGAGCCCGTTGGGGAGTTGCAGCGATGAGACAAGATCGAAATTGGGGAGAAAAAGGGGGTAAATAATATCTAGCTTTAGAAATGACAGATCCTGCTTGTGTTGCCTGTTTGATTGTTTGTTTAATAGCCTACTGATTACGTGAGCACCAAGCCTCACACAACATGTTGGATAAACAATTCCACAAAATCAGCTGTTTTCATGTTTGTTATGCTGTAAAAGGCTTTACACTTTATTCGTTAGAACAGCCTCTCTGGTATTACTTATACATTTATTTAGTGTTGTTTACACGGTTCCAAATTGTCCGAAAAATAACCCTCCTTTTTCTTGGTCTCCTTAGTTATTTTTATCATCATCCTCCTCCTCCTCCTCCTCATTATAATAAGTAATGTACTTATCATTAGTAGGCTTAGTATATCAGCCTTGTATAACCACCATCGAGCTGTAGGCCTAAGAGCGCATCCTGTTCAGTCTTAATACCATATCTTAGGCCTATATTTCAATACTTATATAGGCTACTGTATTATTCATTTGTTCATGTCATCACACAGCATACGAGTCATTCATGATTTGAAATGCAATCAAGCATTTTAGTTATAAAATAACAAAGCAAACTTTGAATAATTAGCGTAAACAATAAATAAACAGTTCCATAAAATCGGCAATTGCATTCACAAATGCATGCGACTGTTTTTAGTCTTTGCTGTAATAAAAGGTCCCCCCCCCCTACAAAAAGAAAACAGACTCTCTGGTACGCTTATTTTTTATTTAGTGTTGTTTACATTGTTCCAAATGGTCAGAAATATTATATTGTAATCTAACAGCACCGGTTCGGCACACATAATATGCACGCAGCGCTTCTTCTCCAGTATTTTCCACAACTAGTCAAATTTATTCCACACATCTGACTTCCCCTTTAACTCCTGAGCAACCAAACATTCCCCCGTTTCGAGTTTATTTGTCACATCATCTGCATCCATTTTGCTGTCACGTGTTACAGTGTGTTACAACCAATTTATTAATGTGATTATGACATGCTATAGGTCAGGCCCTATTGTTCACGTGCATGCGATGCATACATGTGTCACTTAAAAGAGAGCAAGGGTTGAGGGAATAGGGAATGTTTTTCCTAAACAAATTAGGGATTTCGGTAACATAACTTTTCAGAGGGGAAATGGCTGTAATTATTTTGCAGGTTCAGCAACACGGACAGCTCGATAAACACTGTTGATGCTCTGCGGTGGAGGCTGCAGCAGGGAGGAGAGAGAGACAACGGGTGCTAGTCACACAGTCACTCTGTCATTTTTTTAACACAGCGCAGCAAGTCTGAGCCCGGCACAATCAAATTACGGTTGGACTCACTCTAGTCATTTGTGTGTCTTAATTATTTCATCAAACAGTACACTTAAAGTATCAGACAAGCTTAGAGCAGACAGCCACGCTCAAGGTCCTAAACGATATTATAACCGCGATCGATAATAGACAGTACTGTGCAGCCGTTTTCATTGACCTGGCCAAGGCTTTCGACTCTGTTAACCACCGCATTCTTATTGGCAGACTAAATAGCCTTGGTTTCTCAAATGACTGCCTCGCCTGGTTCACCAACTACTTCTCAGATAGAGTTCAATGTGTCAAATCGGAGGGCCTGTTGTCTGGACCTATGGCAGTCTCTATGGGGGTGCCACAGGGTTCAATTCTTGGGCTGACTCTTTTCTCTGTGTATATCAATGACGTCGCTCTTGCTGCTGGTGACTCTCAGATCCACCTCTACGCAGACGACACCATTTTGTATACATCTGGCCCTTCATTGGACACTGTGTTAACAAACCTCCAAACGAGCTTCAATGCCATACAACACTCCTTCAGTAGCCTCCAACTGCTCTTAAACACTAGTAAAACTAAATGCATTCTCTTCAACCGAACGCTGCTTGCACCCGCCCACCCGACTAGAATCACTACTCTCGACGGGTCTGACCTAGAGTATGTGGACAACTACAAATATCTAGGTGTCTGGTTAGACTGTAAACTCTCCTTCCAGACTCACATTAAGAATCTCCAATCCAAAGTTAAATCTAGAATCCGTTTCCTATTTCGCAACAAAGCCTCCTTCACTCATGCTGCCAAACATGCCCTCGTAAAACTGACTATCCTACCGATCCTTGACTTCGGCGATGTCATTTACAAAATAGCCTCCAACACTCTACTCAGCAAATTGGATGTAGTCTATCACAGTGCCATCCGTTTTGTCTCCAAAGCCCCATATACTACCCACCACTGTGACCTGTACGCTCTTGTTGGCTGGTCCTCACTACATATTCGTCGCCAAACCCACTGGCTCCAGGCCATCTATAAATCACTGCTAGGCAAATCCCCGCCTTATCTTAGCTCATTGGTCACCATAGCAACACCCACCCGTAGTCTGCGCTCCAGCAGGTATATCTCACTGGTCATCCCCAAAGCCAACACCTCCTTTGGCCGCCATTCCTTCCAGTTCTCTGCTGCCAATGACTGGAACAAATTGCAAAAATCTCTGAAGCTGGAGACACTTATCTCCCTCACTAACTTTAAGCATCAGTTGTCAGAGCACCTTACCGATCACTGCACCTGTACACAGCCCATCTGAAATTAGCCCGCCCAACTACCTCATCCCTATATTGTTATTTATTTTGCTCATTTGTACCCCAGTATCTCTATTTGCACATCATCTCTTGCACATCTATCATTCCAGTGTTAATACTAATTGTAATTATTTTGCACTATAGCCCATTTATTGCCTTACCTCCATAACTTGCTACATTTGCACACACTGTATATATATGTATTTCTGTTGTATTTTTGACTTTGTTTTGTTTTACCCCATATGTAACTCTGTGTTGTTGTTTTTATCGCACTGCTTTGCTTTATCTTGGCCAGGTCGCAGTTGTAAATGAGAACTTGTTCTCAACTGGTTTACCTGGTTAAATAAAGGTGAAATAAAAAAAAATAAAAAAATATATAGTTGATTTGATTAAAACACATTAGTATGTGTCTATATATGGAGAAGAAGAAAAAAGTTTAAACATTGACCAATCGAAAACAAAAATAATAATTGTCGGGGACAGCCCTAGTGTTTTATTTCTCATGTTGACATTTTTCTTATTTAAATCTGCATTGTAGGGGAAGCGCTTGCAAGTAAGCATTTCACTGTAAAGGTCTACACCTGTTGTATTCGGCACATGTGACAAATAAAATGTGATTGGATTTGAACCATCTTTCAATAAGACTAGATTGTGTAAAGGTGTGGGATCTAAAAAGTACCTGCTCAAAAACCAAGGGATTAGCTACTCAACAGATTACTAGCTGCAGGTGTCACGCGCTTGCCGTCACAGACGGATGCAGACTAAGCTTTTTTATGTAACTAGTGTAGACCTAAATATCATTTGTAGTTTACAACATCAGACAGACATGAGAATTGAGAAGACAATAAGAAGTTTTAAAATCAGTAAGACAGTCAATCTTTTTAGCTAGAACAGTTAAAGGGATAGTTCACCCACGTTACAAAATTACACATTGGTTTCCTTACCATGTAAGCATTTTTCGCGCATCATGTCCAAATCATCTATAAATAGGGTGTCCACCCACTCTGCCCAGTGGGTGAAAACTCGCCTTGGTGAAGAAATGTCACTTCCTTATGTTACATTTTAGCAAGGCAAATAGTATTCTTTATGTTCTGAATCATTCAGTAGGGTATTTCTCGAACATATCATTAACATGTCTAAAAAGTCGGATTTCATAACCTAATACATCCAATAATAAGCACCGAGCTCTGTTGACAGAGCCTGCAAAGTTGTTTCCACGGGTTGCAAAAAGCCTAATTAATATTAAACGAACTGGATTAAATGTAAAAGGGTTTGAAAATGTAAAAAACTTGTGGTACGCTCAGTGCTCCGTTTACATTTCACAGAGCAACGATTGTTTTTGTGAGAAATCTTCTAAAAACAGGAATTTCGCATTAATATAAAAAGCGTATATTAAAATACATGTCATGTCTCAAAAAAATCTATTTTACCTCTATATTGTTTTATGTCCTCTGGATTCGAGAAGAAAGATGAGTTCAATGGTGAGCCTGTCAG